GGATCTCGCCAGCAAGAGAGGATCCGTCAGGGAAGGGGATCTCGCCAGCAAGAGAGGATCCGTTAGGGGAGAGGATCTCGCCAGCAAGAGATGACCCATCAGGGGAGGGAGCTCGTCAGGAAGATATGGCCACTCATCGGTCACCAGGAGATCTGGAAGCAAATATAGTTCATAAGATCAGCCGGTCAATCGTGGCAAAAGTCGGTCCATGTCGGGACGGAGTTGTGTTCACTAGTTCAGTGTGCATGATGGCTACCAGTGCGATTTCCATATTTGCGGGTCTTCGTGGGGAAGATAAAATATTATATTGGTGAGTGTTCCCACACCAGCATGAAAACATCAATCCCTAATCTGGAATGCAGGAGCGACGTTACGTGCGCAATTGGAATATTTGCATTCGGGCTCGTGAGAGTTCTTTATAACCGAGGGGATTTTGTATTCGAAGCTTTCCTCTTCCTCCTGTGCTCTACCTACACCATCTTGCTGTTAAACAAAAGGTTTCCTGAGTATACCGACATTTTCTCTGAATCTAAATACCCAATCCTTGCCTGTTTGCCCCTAACTATTGACATTGGCTTTCTTTGGACAGTCTGCATTCTTAAGCTCTTGAACGAGCTCGGGCGCTTGGTCCTGATTCTCGTTCCTGCCTTAATAATGGTTTATCTTCTCATTCCCTCTCCTGACCCCTCTCCGGCCTCTCCGCCATCCACTCCGCCATCCACTCCGTCTGCTACAGAGTCCTATTCCCTTTCTACAACGTCTCGCTCCGACCCTACCTCTTCCTGATACAAGGCAGGTCTATCCAGCCATTTTCACGGTGTTCGATAGCGTCTGGTGGAAATAGAACTGGGAAAAATGGCGTACAGCTACCACTGGCATGCTTGTCAACATCTAGGTGAAGATTTTAGGTCTCTCTAGATTGGCATATTGCTGAATGGTTGGAATTGAATGGCACAAAAACATGGCTAGATTAGCCAATATCGGAGAACATTATTTGTCAATCAACGTGTTCCATAATGCATGAGAGGGGCCTGAACCATTCAGGCGCTGTAGATTTTAACAAGTGCGAATCTGATGGAAAGATTACGGTCTTGGCAGTCACCAGTCCTTTGGGGCATCTTCACTTACAGTCTCTCCCCGTCCTTCGGCATCGTCTCTATCAATCGACCCGGAATTGCCAAATCTGTATTCGCTCCATGAATTTTCATACCCTTTACGGCTGATCTGCGTTCGTTCAGCACTCCTGAGATTTTTCCGGCCCGACCTCTTACATAATTCAAGTCGCTATCTTCCTTGGAGTTCTGGCATCTCAGCAGTACGTGGGAAACGGTTTGCCCTCCTCCTCCACAGAGGCAATTTGGGTCAATTATGTCGGATACTCTCCAGTTCAAGGCAGGAAATCATTACATTTAATCTTTTTATTCTAAATTTGTTCGTTTATTAACACTGCATCCTGATAATAAAGATACTGACATCAAAGTGAGCATAGGGGCTCGGCTTTCCGCCAAACTGAGTTTCATTGCCCTCTCCTATATCTGGGGTAGCCCAGTGGATGAGCAACATCCTTTTTATAGTCATTACGGCATGTTGAAATATCACATATCTTGCCATGGTGAGCGCATTGCCGTCGGTCATAATTTGTACGAAGTTTTAGCACAGCTGCGTGAAGCGCAAGAGCAATCCCCACTTTGGATGGATGCTATCTGTATTGATCAGAGGAATGATGAAGAGCGAAACCACCAAAGCTTGCTTATGCCTTCAATCTATCACCAGTCATTGTTGGTACTCATTTGGCCTGATAGCAGCGATGGGGCTATTTATACCGCTTTGAAACCTTGAATAGATTGCGAGATAGGATATTGCCAGCGAACTTGTCTGTCAGTGATGACTCCGCTACAGAGTTTATATCCTACATCCCTCGCCAAGATAGGCATGCTCTCGGCATTCTGTTCCAATGCTGATGGTTCAACAGATTATGGATTTTGCAGGAAGTTCTCTTACCAGCAAGAGCAAGATGCATATGCGGGTAGAACGATTTTGACGTTGAGGGTTTGTCTGTGTTTGTAGCGCCGTTACTCAAAATCGCTGCCAGCCGAAGCACCAATGAGAGTGATGGAAGACTTCAATAGCTCCACTCAGCTTGGAAGTATTGCATGTATTTCAGCTTGGTTCGCTTCGACTTTGGCAGGCGGTGGCTTCGGCTCAAGTGTATTGCTGAGGTACCAAATTGGAGGACAAAGTCGTTGCTCCGCTAGCATTCGCACTGCACGACACGTTTATTCCAGGGACTTCCGGCTTTCATCTCCTAGCGAACGAGACGCGCGAATTGCTAAATTACGATTTTTCGGTGACAGAATTATATATTCAATGTACGCATTTCTTGACTAATTCTATGGCGAACCTTAACATTCTGTCGCGAGTTAATTCGGCCATACTGCCAACCAAAATTTGAAATGGGCACATGTGCTCAATCTACCGTCTTGGGCGCCGTCATTCAACGAGGCTAGAACAACTTCACTCATGGATGATATACTCTTTACTCAATATAATGCCGCCCTACATTTGGGCCCATATCGAAGAATTGAGAGTAAGAAGCCCTCAACAACTTCCGGACTTCACTAAGCACTGTGATGGGTCGCCAAACCCATTCTTCGCAGCTACAGGTATGCGCAGTGTTTTTCGGATGTATTGTCCAAATATCGCAGCATACGGCTCCATTTCGTACAATTCCCGCGTGGTTATCTCACGTGCGAAATTCAGATCGATACAAAGAAGTCCGATTGAGCCGAAGGAAGGATCTTGCGCACACCTTTGTCCAGAGACTTGGCCAGCGGATAGACTACGGCCTCAGATTTGAAGTTAGGAAGCAGGGTTTCGGGGGGAGTACCTGAGGTTTCGTTCACATACAATCTCTATTGTCCAATTAAACACAGTTGTGCGTATACTGGTATCCAGCTACCCAAACACAAAAAAGAGGGTTCCTAACAATTAGAGCTACTGGTATCGCAACGCGCAATGTGACGGTTGTTTTGCTTCGACATATGTGGCCAATCTTTATTTAGCATCGGCCCATTATGTGTTAAGGAATCAGATAATTCCATTACTATATATGAAGCACCTGACCTATATAAATATATATTAATTAAAGAAGCATTGGCGAAGAACTTCATACATGTATAAGTCCTAACCCTCTACAAAATTTACTATCGTCTTTACTTCCTTCAGCTCTCTGTTCTAGAGGGACTAGTTAATTATAATTTTCTTTAATTAGAGAATTCACAGCCATTCGCCGATCTAGGCACTTTGCGGTGGCGATCGGAGGCTGCCAGCACACTGGGTGGCAAACCATGTCTGACAGCAGATTGCCCTACATCTGACTGGCCGTACGAATGGTTGGTTGGTTGGCCGTCAACGTAGCAACCGTGAGGAGCCGTGGCTGAGCTTTACCAGTGCCCAATTCTGAAAAATAACGAGCTGATCGCTTGAACAGGAGAATCCTATCCAGTAATCGTTGGTGTTGTGAATTCCTGCCTACGGCACAGATATCCGAGAAGGATTCGGGATTCAGGAGTCAGGAATACGATCAGGAATACATGTATTAATAGTCCGTAGGATGTCCGAAGGAGATCGCGAGTTTCTCTCAATTTGGAAGAAGAAAGTCACAATCTCACGCCAAACACTATTCTTGGCCAATGGAGATCGTGATGGCTGCAACCTGAGAAAACATACAGACGGCTGCGACGAGGGAAATATGAATAGAAGATGAGCCGGTGAAGTATAAGTAGCATCCTGTTCTGCAGGAATAATTGCTAAACAACCAACACTTTACTCTCGCACACATCACGTGAACTTAAGTTGCCCTTTATCTACAGCCATCTACATCTACTATGCTATTCACTCTCTTTCAAGCTCTAACGCTTTTGGTCATCAGCGCCATGGCACTATCCCCACGAGACGCCATTCACACAAATGATATTGATCGATATGACTCGTTTATCAAAGATTTGGAATTGATGGACGACCATTTCCTCGACATGTACTTTCACAACGGCACGGTCACTATCGACGTCTATCAACACCCTTCCAACGATCTTACCCGAACCGAACTTTTTGCTCCAAGCTCCAATGCACAGCAATACTTTGACCAAGAAAAGGCTGCTGCCGATGAGATCCTTGGATCAGACTCCCAAGGCGACAAATCTTTGGCAGAGCGTGGCCCATGCGTTGGCCCAGGACCGCATCCCGACGCGAGATCCGAGGATTCTGTCGGCTTGGAGAAGCGTCGCTCAAACTGCTTTCAATTCTGTGGCACAATTGCCAACTGCCGCGGAAATAATGGGTGTCCACACTGCTACGCGGTTCGACAAGGCTGTCTTTGGCAGAAATGGTGTCGCTAAGCACATGCTCGATTCCTCACAGTGGACCAATGTGTGTTTGGAAGGGTTCTGCCGTCTTTCATTTCAGCAAAGCACCGAATACAAGCTTTTCGCAGCCTACCAGGCTATAAACTACATAGTCTAGTATCTGCGAATATAAATAACGTTAATTTCGATAGTTGTGTTCTTTCTCACCAATCGCCTACAGTGCTTCAAATGCCAATGAACGTTTGTATTGTAATGGAGAAGTCGATGTTCCCCCTCCACCACCTCCTCTGCTTATCCATAACCTGGACTGGAGGCCAGGATTTGGGCATACACCACTCATAGTGTGTGTGCAGAAATGGCCGAGCAAAAACATCTTCTCTGTGATCCCTTGGGCTGGTCCTTCCCTCAAGATATCTGGGTTGATCTAAATCCGTGCATTGACATACAGGCAGTCAGCCTTCTGCTTGTAGTATATATACTTAGTACGTTATCCGCTTGTTCTGCGGATGTTCTTTCCCTCTACATTCTCAAACAAGCGTGTGCTTTATATACATACCCTGAACGAATCCAATGGCCGTTCCCGAGCGCTGCAGGAAGCTGCCACGAGACGTCATCAGGAAACCCGCCTTCGCAAGGAGGAACAGAGTCAAAGACTCGGAGCTCACTATTATCACTGTCTCCAGAAAAAGCTCAATAAGAAGAAGTTCCTTACACCATTGGACGCAGACACTACACAAGCTAGCATCTTCTACATCAAGAAGCGTTTCATGAGGTGTGTTACCTATTCCTACCCGATAGGCATGCAGACCAGTCATACTGAACTAACTGGTCACTGATTTAGATTCTGTCACGAGAAAAAGCACGGATTGTGGAGGCATGCAATCAATCGTCGTCGCTGCGATAAAGGTCTGATCATGACATTTTTGCATCGTATTTGCGAGACGTGCCTCCAGCCTCGACGCAAACGTTCCAAGAAGAAAACCGTCAACCAGTACTGGAGAGACTTCAAAATGCTGTATCGAAGGACGAATAAGGGACGAGTGATCAACGCGAACGACTGCGAGGAGATTGTCAAGGTATGTACCCGGGCCAGTGACAGGTGTGATTGGCTCATGAACCTTTGTGCTGACTGTTGAAGTACATCAATGGGCATCTGAGAACCAAATTCAACCTCGATGACCTCCCAGGCAGCAAACCTGTCATGGGGATAGATGATCTTCTGTTGGGGCTCACACATCACTGGTCCCGTGATCGCAGCGTTTTCCCCACTGAGGATGGCCGTTTAGATTTGCCCTCAATCATGCTCTTCCAGGCGTATACTGCCTGTAGGCCGGCGGAGCTTGTGGATGGGACTAAGACGAGAGGAGGCAAAGATCCGCTTCTCGACGATATGCCGATGAGCACCGCTTGTGCCCCAAAGTCTTCTCGTCAGTCACGTTCAAAGTCATATCTCGAGACGCATATGCCAGTGGAGAGTGATCACGTCGATCCGTACACTGAAGAGGGAGAATCAGATCCGGATGCAGCTGATTCCGTCTTTGAGGTTGATGATGGATTCGAGAGCGACGAGAGCGACGATACAGAATCCAGTGCGGAATCTCCTGAATAATATGGTGGCCGAGATCTGCCAGCCGAGCTGGCCAGAGACTCGAGTCAGAGCACCTCTAATGAAGGCGACGAAAGGGGCGCGGTTTGTAAACACAAGGCTTTATGTTACGAAGACATCATCTTGTAGATCGTCAAGGACCCAAAGGGAGGCCAAAGAGATGTGCTGGCCATGGTTGTTTTTTCCCGACATCACAAGGGTACCAATAATAACCAAAGCCGTAAGCCAGCTTATATAAGCCACCTTTTGTTATGGACATACTGACTAGTTGATAGAACTATTTTCTTGTTTCGCAAAAACCCTCTTCCTCTTCTCTGCCCAATTAGCCATATTCTAGCCCGGGCTATTCGCGATAACACTGTCGAAGTCGATGGCTTCACACATGCCACACCTTTCTTCTCTACTCACATCGGCAAGAGGGCAATAAAGGTTCATTGGAAGCAGTCGATACTGAAGGCACCTGTATTCAGGAGATCCGTGCGGACTGATGTTGGAGGATGGGTGAAGTCACGAACCGAACCTATGCGATACTCAACCTATGCATTCTATCTCGATCGTATCGGCTCGGATCTGGGCTCTGAGGAGAAGTGGACTTCGTATTGCATGCGACGCGGCAATGCAAATGCCATACTTGGTGTTGCCCCGGATTCCGTGGTCGACCAGGTTATGAGACACGATCCGATGACGGGCTGTTTAGCGAACGCATACCTGAATCGGCGAGTCGGGTTCAACACCCAAGACGCCTACCTTGAGAGAGATCCAAGCGCCGATGGACTGACCCGAGCATTTACGCACATGGGCATACGCTGCAACCCAGAAGTCCTGAAGGAGATTCCCAAGTCTGAGCTGGACAAGCTAATGCCTGATGCTGAGGTAGTCGAGCTCCGGGGTCGGATAAAGAAAATAGCCGTCATGATCCGGCAGGAGCACGGATTCATCAAATCAGCACCCAAAAAGCAAAGAGAAGATTATCTTCAGCTTCGCCAGGATCTGAGAAACGCTGAGAAAGCTTTCAAAACAGACATGACGAAGGCATATCAAGAAGCCTGCCGTCGACGCGTCCACAACGAAGAGTTGGAGCGACAACTGAATGGCATGGCCGCAAGTGAAGATACCGCCGAGCCTGTCATCCAACACCAATTATTGGAGCAGAAACTTGTACAAGAAATCATGTGCGATTTCAACTTGAAGTTAAGCTGCGAAGATCTGACCAACCGCAAGATCCAAGCCGTGGATGGTTTGGTCCTTCTGGCGTCCTGCCGTGAAGTACGTCATGCGAGAACATTGTTGCCGTCGCCATCGCCGTGCCCCAAGAGGCTCGATAGGGAAACATCTACGCCATGCGAGCTACCTCCAAAGCCAGCAGAAATTCCTTTGGTGTTGGAAAAGAGGCAATGTATCTATTGTGTCGGTGACGAGCAGCTTTCCTATGCTGACCGCATGCGCACATTCAGTCGGGTGTCCCACATGATGGATCATGTAGAGAAAGTCTATTTGAGGCATGAGCCGAAAGGACGGTTTGTGTGCCGCCATCCTCAATGTAAGCATCTTGGTAACTTTCTGACAACCTTGAGTCACTTTAAGAACCACGTGCAGAGAGTGCATGGTGTGAAGCTTCGAGCGTAGGAAAACGCCGAGCGAGCTTGGTCTGCTACTGATCATGATTCTAACATTATGTATGAGTGAAAGGTTTTTGTGTCGGAGTTGAAGATCGATCTTGGTAGATAATATTACTTATAAAGTCTTCCAGGACGTAAAATGAAGTATATATAGCCGTCGAAAGCCCTCTGTGACCTGTTCGAACTTTGCCAAGCTTAAAACTGTAATGACTAGCAAGAGCAAAAAAAGAGATAGAAGCGGCGAAAACTTTAAAAAAAAAGTTGGCGGACTTTTCAGAAGCATGGCTTTGACGTTCATAAGACCTATCAAGCCGAGGTATATATCTTATTACGTCGGAAGGGGCAGATTTACGAGTTCAAGTCTACTGACGAGGTTTGGCCGCTGCCACCAGCTAACCTGGTATGTGTTCACGATATAAAATTTGGCAGCCGGAACTAAATAAGAAGGAAACATGCTTCCCGCCGGTCATCCGTGTCAACGCAGCTGAAGTTTGTGGTTTGCGTAGGCCACGGAGCACTAGCAATGGCTGCCTCAACTGTTCTGGCATCACGTGAAGCTAGCTGACGGGTAACAACACACATTTGGGCTGGTACAGGGACACCAGTCCAATTCAGGCACAGCAATTGAAAAAAAAAAAAACCACACAAAGCTCAGAACACATTTTTGAAAACTCGTAATTTTCTTCGATCGCTGTAGTAAACCTATGTCCTTATAGGCGATTATTGGCAAAAACGCGTTCGGAACGAACACATCAACGAGCACGTTATATACCTTAAGGAAGCATACAACCAACTGTAGGCAGTGGATCGAGGGCGGCATAATCAGGTGCCATGGAATGTAGTACAAACATACCTAGAATCAACGCTTAGTCTTATGGGTAAGGTCCTGCGATAGCCTGCCTTGCGCGAGGTCCTCCAGCAGGTTCAAGATACCGCCAGATACACCAAGAACATCCAAAACGATGTCGCCTTCATCAAACAGTCTATGGGACTGGGAACGACCGTTGCGGTGCGGATATAGGCCATTGCTTTCGCACAGACGAACCCGGATTCAGAACGCTGCAAACTAACCAAGTCCTCCGACTCGGCTCTCCTCCCGTACTCCAGTTATAAGGTGACGCGACAGGATTCTTGTTTAGCTGGTTCCTCTACGTTCAACTAAGGGAGAAGGAAAGTTCAAGGCAGCGAGTCAAGCCACTCCCGCCAGAGCAGTTCGTATAAAACACGGACGTCCCGAAACCTACAAGCCAACCCACCCCGGCATGGCCCTTGCAGGAAACGCAACCTGGTAATATCGGAGCCACAGAGTTTTCCATCATGTGGGCGTCTCATCCGTACAAAAAATTAACTTGCTTCGGCTTAAGACCCCCAAATTTTGGAGGAGTTGAGGTGCTTAGTTTGACCATCAGGGTTCTCACCATATCAGGTCCTTTGCAACAGTCGGCCTCCACTCGTCCAATCATGTCACATTTCCTCCCAAAGAATAATTCCTTTAACGGCAAAGACGGCACTGTTCATGTTCGTACTTTGAGCCTAGGGCGGTTCAGAATCGATAGTCAGGATGCTCATATGCCGCGGTGGTCTACTCCCCCCCGAAACTTGAAAAGGTATTAAACCCCCGTAGCCCGCGATGCAATCCTGCGTGTGACTTATGATTGCAAATATCGTACCCTGTTCCATACAAAGATCTCTTGTTATCTCTCGCGAGTCTTCGTTGATATTACAGAAATGTCGGGGCCTTCCGACTTTGACCCCGAGAGGGTGAACCTCACGGAATTCGGGTCCATCACTCAACAGGGACTCATCACCTGCTTCCTGACCACGGCCGGAAACCAGTACGATGGACCTTTGGGCATCCGTATAGGTTCAATATTTGTCATCGGTGTCGTCTCGACTGCCGTGACCTTCTTCCCCGTCGTGGCAACCCGCATCCCACGTCTCAAGATCCCGCTCTACGTCTATCTCTTTGCAAGATACTTTGGCTCCGGTGTTATCATTGCCACTGCCTTTGTGCATTTGCTCGATCCCGCCTATGCGGAGATAGGCCCTGCTTCCTGCGTCGGCATGACTGGCGGCTGGTCAACTTACTCGTGGCCACCCGCAATCGCTTTGTCCGCAGCCATGATCACGTTTCTCCTCGACTTTCTCGCCGAATACTATGTCCAGACGCGTTACGGACTTCCGCACAATGAGGCCGGAATTGAAGATACCATCACGTCCTCTGCTACAGGCGGGCATCAATACTTGCATTCGGGAGAGATGGACCATCATCCGGACGCTCGTCCAAACTCAGACAAACGTTTAGGCGAGAACGGCGATGCAGACGGAAAGCGTCGTGCCAGCTATGCAGACATCGAGGAGCTCCGACATCTAGACGGTGATTCCAAAGAAACTGAACTCGCCTTCAAGACTCAAATCGCCGCTTTTCTCATCCTCGAGTTTGGGGTCTTGTTCCATAGTGTCTTTATTGGGTTGAACTTGGGAGTGGCCGATACCTCTGACTTTGATACCTTGTTCCCCGTTCTAGTATTCCACCAGTCCTTTGAGGGTCTTGGTATAGGAGCGAGGCTGAGTGCCATTCCCTTCCCAGATCGACTCCGCAGCATGCCTTGGCTGTTATGTGCCGCCTATGGGCTGACGACACCTATCGCAATTGCCATTGGCCTTGGTGTTCGGACTACATACGATAACTCGTCCTTCACAGCGAACCTTGTCAACGGCCTTTTCGATTCTATCTCGGCTGGCATTCTCATATACACGGGATTTGTGGAGATGATTGCTCGCGACTTTCTCTTCAATCCTGATAGAACTCAGGACAAGGTCCGTCTCGGTTTTATGGTTGTTTGTCTCTTCCTTGGTGCTGGAATCATGGCTCTGGTTGGCAAGTGGGCTTAGTCGAGTTATATCATGAACAAATCTTTGCCCAACAGTCGTCGCTCCGAGTGTTTATAATTCGAATCTGGCTATGAGAAGTTTTGATCAAGGCGCTATATAGGGACTTGGATGCAACGATGATCACGGAGGAGCGTGACTATGTTTTTGAGTGGATTTCATAGTCAGATAGAAGATAGAAAAATGTATCCTGGCCACCTTTGGAAAAGGGAGGGATTTGAGAACTTACAATAAGTCAAGCCAAACTGCCATGAGGCCACTGCATACAATTACACCACTCGGTTTCCTTTTGAGGTTTTACAGGTTGAGGTCATGCGCATACACAAAGTGTATTCCAGCTGTAAAGAAGGCAAGATCAGGTAATGTATTGGAGTATTGGGCAATCTAAGGCTAACGGACTAATGTGAAGGTTCCATCGATCTTTGCGCTCATCTATATTGCTATCACATTCAAAGCGATCCAAGCATCGCAATTTGCAACTAAGGTGCCTAAAAGCTATCTGACATACGAACAGCCATCCCCCCCCCCCCCCCCCCCCCCCCCCCCACTCTCCTTGCTTAACAGCACTTCTCTTCACACTGTTACAAACCATGGAATCTCGTTAGCCGCCAAGATGTTTCCCGTTGCAAATACAAGGAGTCGACGTTTGGGTTTCTCACTTCACCTGACAGGCAAGTACAACCGTAATGACAGCGTTTGTCAAGGATGGCGTTGCTGTCCAGTGCAGGCATGGCAGCAGCGATGCTAGCCAGCCAGCAAAGAACTACGACGTTCAAGTGTAGTTGCATTTCGTTAAAGGCTTCGACAAGACTTTGTAAATAATGAAACTGAGTGATAGCAGGAAAGTAAGTTTTCTGAAGGGCTTGGCATGGAACTGACGAAGTTTGGCTAAGGAGGGCGTGGTCTGACTTATATACTTTATGGCTGGCTAGATCTCTAACAGTAGTCAATGGCCTGAGCACAAAGTGCCTTCTCACTTGAAGACTGATGTTCGAATTTCCGTCCATCACCCATCAAGGTACCCGACAACGTAATAATCTCTCTGGGAATCATTGAGGTATCCATCCATGTGCCCTTCAAGGTTCTCATCAAACTACAGCAGACAGGACACGTTGGGAGGCACACAGACTGCGTAGTATATGTGGTGAAGCTAAGTGGATTTCGAGGTTTGGCCCTAGAGATCCTATCCTGTTGGACATACATGCGACCCGCACATCTTCAGGCCGCTGTGCCGGTTTTCCCGGGCCGCAATCTAAGCCATTAGAAATCCTAAACACTACTCCGGACAGTACATCCTGACTATGCGAGTGGAGCGGTAGTCTTCCTGGGAGATAGACAAGCACGGAAGATCCGAGCATGTTAGAAGACGACGAGGATTCGGATGTAGAAATGACCGACGTGGATTCGACTGATGACGGATCTATTGAGGAGGACTTGCCGGTTGGACCCAAGACCCCGACACTGGAGCAACTCTACCTTCGAAAGGGAACACAGCTGTTGATGAATGTTGAGGCCGTCCTGGGAGGCCAGAGGTGGAATATTGACTGCATCGATCGTAATGGCGCTATCTACTGTCAGTTTCAACATGGGTAGGCGCTGAGGTTAAACAGGGACAAAAAGGCATTATAGCGCAGTTGGCCGGTGAATTTGATACCCGAAAATTCGCATCATCATGTGCTTCGTTCTCTTTTTGGCATGTGCAATCGCTCTCAATACGTGAGGAACATCCTTGGGTGTGATTTTCAGTGGGGTTGTTCCTCACGTTGCCATGGCCACTACACACCTACCTCTTAAGATTCTGCCTATGTAGCGCCATTGGCACAATTCACAGCAGCAACCAGTGGTGGATAAGTCGCCAGACTAGTGCTGAGCCTGGAAATTTATCGGTAGCTTTGTCGATCTGGCAAAAAAAGACCCCCGTCGATAGCGCACAACATCCCTCAGTGAATAATTTAGATTACATGCTCTGAACATCCGGCCCGGATACAGCTCGTTGTATTTCTTGTCAGCCACAAGGTCCAATGTTTCCTTTGGAACTGGGCTCGGCAAGTGATCATGGCTGAAGAGTGGCTGTTCTATCGTGATTATTTGTGGAATCTCAGCTTGAAAGAATCCCGCCACCAGCTTCGCCAAGAATTCTCCTGAACGAGCCCGAAAAACCCAAGTTTCACTTACTCCTTGCCTCTAACACTTTTCCGCCATACCACAACCTGCAGGTACAGCACCGCATGGCCGACCTGAAACCTGGCCATTATGGTAGAAGTCGAATCGGTGAGGTGCCAACCACACTTAAAGTAGTTCGTTCTATGACACGACAAAGCTGCGCCCAACATACCCCGCACCGGACATCGATCATAGCGCCTAGCAAAATCTGAATTGCAGCTGTGAAGCTCGTCAAATGAGCGCCACCAGGCATCGCAGCTACTAATCGCAATCCAACATGCCAGTGGCAGGGAAGATTTCAAGCCCTAGGAGCAGCGGATTTTGGACATCCCTGGCCCTAGAGGATGGTCGATTACTGCGGGTAATTATGAAAGAGGAGGTTCGTAAAAGATCAGTCTTCTCACAGGCAACACGGAACGTCACCCTGACAGCTTGAGCACATGGTTCCAAAGAACGGAGCCGGCCGACGAAATACACTTCACCTCCAGCCGCCCTGACGACGTACCTCCCAATGTACAGAACATGGTAGTCAAGTTGCCTCATCTACGAGACTGCTTAGTGTTCTTGTGTCACGGCACCATTCTTATCAGAGGGCAAGGAGAGATCACTGAGACCGGCTACGCTTACGTCGTGAAGAACGAAGAGTGTCTGGGCCTCGGCGAGAACACGGCGATACTTGTCATGGAGCAAGGAGGCATGAAGGGAGTCTGTAACCGCAAGACAGGCGAAGAGATAGGCGAAGAGCTACGGGCGAATCAAGCCGGAAGGGGAAGCTTGGGAGGCGAGAATGAGGTTGCAACAAAGCGAACATCGGGTTCGGCGGAAAGCTGCGCCTTCAAACTGTCCTTCGAAACTTGTCCTCCCATTTATAGTCGTGAGCTTCACCGCGCCGTTCCACACCTCAAATATTGCCGAGTCTGCTTCAGCGTCCCCGTTGTCAAGCAACGCTTGGGATGGAGATCGGCTGCGGGAGGCCGCCATTGATACAAGTCTGTCGGTCGGGTCCAACTTGGTATCAGCTATCAACTGAGATAGCAACGCTGACGTGGCTTGAACACGTGCTGGGGGCAGACCGCGTCGAGCGCATGATAGAGCGCCTAACCTTGCGGCGTTTGTAAGGCGGTTCCTCATCCTCGTCAGTCTCATCAGAGTGATAAACGACCTCTCTTGCTCCTGTGTTGCCGCCTGCTGGTGACGTAGAGCGGTCACAACCTTGTGGGAGGTGACCCTCGAGCCAATTGTCGAAACGGGAGCTTGGATGAGAGGAGGGCCTGGGCCATGGCTCGGCGCAGGCTGCTCCACTTAGAGAGCGGAGATGCACATGCTCGACCACGGCGTCCGCTGGGCTGTGGAGGAGCTTGGCGCCAGATGGGGGAGGTCTTGGTCAAGGACGGGCCCGCCGCAAGCGATCGCCGGGTGGGTCATGCCGGCTCTTATGCCAGCTCTGGAAGACACCGCACGGTCCGTTGCACCGGAATCGCCGTCTTGTCGCTGTTAGACGGAGGGCAAGGACCTTGGTTTTTTTAGACCCAAGGCTCCTTGGGAAGCCAAATTTCAGCAAACTTCATTAGCCTTAAGGTTCTTCACGGAGATCAGTCACAGCGTATGGTTAAATTTAAGATGCCCGGCGGAGGCACTCTCCTGCTACCCGAGTCAGACGCAACTTACGGAAGCCTTAATCGAGCTACAGGGTGGACGCAGCGCGGGAAACAGACCCGCCGATCCCAATGGCCAGCCCGACCCGGGCACGCATTGGGCTAAGACCACCACCGGCAAACACAAAGTCTTCGTAGATGGCGGGGAGCCCAAGGATGAGGAAGAATTGGTGGTAGGATTGACAGCGGAGGGCATCCTCAGGGGTCCAAGGTCGATCGCCACAAGCTGATTAGTGTTGGCCGTAAGGTCGGGATCTAGTGGGAGCCAGGACAGTCATTACCTAATCTCAAAGAAGGAATATAGCTTCAGTCTCTACCATTATTTTAAGTCAAGACCGGTTCTCGTTGCCGCACCGGTGACCACGATCTCGTTTATTTCACTAATCAACCTCATTGGTAATACCCAAAAAGATCTAGACCAGTGTAACCACAAACTAGTCCAATGAATTCCCACTGGGGAGCTGCTGGCCCCAGTGGCTGCAGCTGCCTAACTTTACAGCGTACTCGACTACTCAACGCAGGTGCGCGCCACACATACAAAACTTACGCCCGATATCTCTGTAGACTTTCCTGTTCTAATCTGTTGCTGGCTTAAAACAGCCATGCCTTTGCGACTCCTTCCCGCATGTGTTGACGCTGTGTGCTCGGAGACTTCCCGAATTGTGATTGATTGATGACTGTAACCCGACCCTAAGTGCGCCGGGATGGCTCAAGTCTCTAAGGACACCGTACTAATTAGTACTCATCAGGCATCTAAATCTACGCTACCAATTACCCTCTCTTAAAGCAACAACTTATTGCCAATACAGCGAGGACACTGCGTCTTCATCATAAAAAGGAGAAAGTAGCTCAGCTCAAAAGACTCCTCTTTTATGCAGACTTCAGTCTGGAGTCTCCGCTGCTGTATACGCCTGCGCTTGCCCGTTTCTCGCTTTCCACGGAAAGCCGTCATAAGGGTAGCAGCCTCAACGCAGAGCTCATAAAGCCTGTCGCCGTCAAGATCATCAGGTTGCCGACAGAGGATTTCAGCAAGCTGCGCTCGCTCAGGGATGTGGAGCTCAATAGCCGGCTGCAGATACTAATCTTCCTCTTCATCATGCTCTTCATCCTCAACCACTTATGCCACCTGCCTCTCAATATCCCAAGTTAGCCGATAATAGAAGTAGTATTACCAATAGGCTTATCGAATTTCCTTGCTGCGCTGCGCCCGCTTCATTCGTATTAAACTAGTAAGGCGCCGCACCTCTGTCTCGTAAGCTATACCCTGGATTCAGTGCCATCCACTTTTAAGCTCCTCCCAGCGCAATTCTAGATCAACAATATCGGGTCTTGGGGGTAGCGCAGTTATAACTTCATCAGGAACCATATCATAGCTCCCCCCAGGGTCACGCATAATGCCAATGTATGTAAAAAAGTCAATAAGACCGTCTTCCATTAGTTCATCTAGGAACGCATTTTGGAGGTGGAACTAGACTTTCTCATTAATATATGCGCTGTTGAAGGTAGCCCATCTAAGATCATGTCGCATCATTTAATCACAGACAGCATCCGGCACATTACCTAGACGGTAACATTAGTATCATAGTTATCATAAGTGCTAAGAACGTACCATTCACTGCATTAGCCGCTCCCCGGCGGAATGATTTCGGCCCAATGGGCTCCTCGAACCCAGCATCAAGAGTCTAGCGTTCCATATCATCTCTAAGTTTATAATACAGGAGGGCCTTGTCTTAGAAGACGAGGGGCCCATCTAATCAGCGAAAAATCAGCCGCTTCAGCCACTCACGCTTCCATCAAATTAATGTACAGTTAACAGGGCCACGGTTCCTAATCTAGAATACACGTAATGCATCAGTCAAGCTAGGAGCATCAAACGCCCCGTCAGCTAGGGCAAGGCTAATAATCACAACGGTAGGACAGAAGATAAGCCTTCTCATACTAGTGAAGAAGAAGATAATCCTGCTATATATTAGCTTAGGAATTACACAAATCAAGTTAGACGTCTATAGATTATAGGAGCACTTACGGCTTAGGTTTATTATCCAAGCCTTTATAGTGGATAAACTTAATGGCCATAGCCAACACATCCCTGTCTGTGTCTGGGTGTCATACAACCAAGAGTAACATCTTCGTAACATAGTGCCTTCAGACGCCCTCAGCCCTCAGTTTCTTAACTAAGCATCTCTTCCAGCAGTCTTGAATTCTCATCAATGGGTTCATCGGCATCTTTCACATCCGGCTTCTCATCATCCTGTGATTTTTACGCCTCACTGGGGTTCGATTCCCAGAGCTCCTCCCACAATCCATCCATAGGCTTATTCTTCTCATTGTCTACAATCTCTGCAGGCCGCGCTCCAGTGCACGCGAATATCTAGTATACTCCAGACAGACCAACTCAATGCCGTCCCAGAGAGAAAGTGCCTGTATCATATGCAATGTTATATGTCAGGAGAACAAAAAGATCATCCAAGCCTAAAACAGGCTTCCCATTCATATTAGGCGGCTAAAGCCCATATCTAGGAACAAGGACGGCATCATGCCACTAGGGGACTAGTTAGCTACTGTAAGAAAAAGGTCATAAGCAAAACCCATCAAAGCAGACCTTCAGGACTTCTCTAACATCATTCCTATCCACATAGCGGCCCATAACGCTGGCATATAGCTGCTTATACTAGCGCCAATATTCCCATAACGTGCCTTCAGAGGTAATTTTCCATCTCTCGCAGATATGATCAAGGAAGTCCATCGCCATCGCTCAGTCAGCCTTGTTGATTACGCATTTCCAGTCGCCCAGCTCGTTTTCTTTGCAGTATCTAGTGCACTGTTAACCACCAAATCATTCCAAAGCCAGACAAGCGTATTTACGTCTTCCATTTCCGCAAGATACCAGTAATATTAATCTTGATTGTGTCGGCATAGTCAGGTTTAAGGAAGTGAACCTCCTTCAACTGCTCACCAAAGCGCCGCTCATTGTGCCGCAGTGAGAGGAGCAGGGGCTTTCCAGACCCTTTTCTAGGACTCTCATTATATAAAGCGGCTGATGAAATCCATATAGTGGCTGCTGTATCCGTCATTGCGGCCGTAAGAAATTAAGGGCGGCGCCATCAAATGTTTAAGCGAGGAATAAAGACAAAAGGGCTGGCGAGGACGGCACTAGTCGCCAACAGAATGAAGAGAGAGTCAAAAATAGCTCTTAGTGAAGAGGCTGGAGCCAATAAACGGCCACAGTTGGTGGGAGAGACGTTATTTTATAGGTCCTGTTGCATGGAAATCTAAAGGACAAAAACTTAAACTCGGTTTCAAGTTCCAGGATTAAAATAAAATAGTCAAGCAGCCCTGGTGGAGAGCAAAATCAGGCACAGGCCCATCCCCTGCCTCAGCAGGCACAGAGCAAGTCGCACTGGTACAGCGGCGACCGAAATGAGTGTTCGCGTTTGAATAATAATAGTAGCTTTTGTTTATTGAAACAAATAATATCAGTGTAAGTCTATTTTTTTTTCTTATAGGGTACTTGCATGTGTACACAAGAGCATTCTGCTTTTCGGTCTCCCTTGGACAGGTTTATAATACAGTTAGAAGCCTGTCCCAACATCGAGCTCCACATTTGGCTCATCTCAATGGAATTCGCCTGATTACCTAATCAAGACGGCCCGGGTAGCTCAATTGGCTAGAGCGTGCGGCTTTTAACCGCAAGGTTGGGGGTTCGACCCCCCCCTCGGGCGCTCCTTTTTTACATTTATACTCCAAGTGATAATTTTTTTTTAATAGTAGAGACAAGTCATTACCAATCATTTTGATTTTCATACTTTTGAGCATGTGTGATGCAAGTGAATGATGAGTTGGCGGTTGATAAGCCGCTGCCAAGGGTGTAAGTTAGGCAGATATGGCACTTAGTGTAGAATATTAACTGGAAAAGTACTAGCAGTCCAAGAGTGCCAGCAGTCACCACGAAGGATTGCAGTAATGCGGTGGAGTAGATGATCATGGTATTAGTGAGAGGTGAGAGATGAGAGGTGAGGTGATTGTTGGGCAGGAGAATATGTGTTGGCAAAGTTGATGCATGTTGTGATAACACCCAAGTAAGGGGTAAGGCATATATCACTAGTCGGCAGGTGAGCAACTGCTGTGAGGCTAAGATGGTTTTTAAAAAGTGGCTTTGCTCAACGAAGGAATGACCAGATAAACACTTGGTCAATCGAATGTCCACGTATCAATCAGAAGATGGGGTCTCGTGAAGGCATCGCCATCCCCTGCAGTACACAGAAAGGGTCATCATCCAACATGAAGTGGGGTGATAAGGTGTGGTTAACAACACATCAGCGCATCAACTGTCTAAGTCTCTGAGCCATTCTGCCTTGTAGGGCAATGATACGATAGCTGTGATAGCTTCACAGAGCGAAGGATTGCTAGGTGCTCTCGTATTGAGGAGTTGAATGACGGTGAGGAGGGCGGTGAAGATGGAGCTAGAGAGTAGCGAAGTTGATTTACTACCGTGTTGAATTAGAGTTGTGGCTGAGAGAGATTGCCTAAATTGAGTGGAGGTTCCAAGAAGCTGGCATTGGCACGGATATTCCGGATTGGGCACCCTAAACATATGCGAGGCAAATGGGGTTTTATTATTGATATCTATAGCTGCCTATGAGATATCCATTCACAGCCAACATACAGCCAAATCAGGTAGGTATATGACGGGGCCAAGAGACAGGGGTTTAAGGCAATCGGAGCAAGATTTGTTTGTAAAACAAGCCCTTTGAAACACTTTCATAGTTGGTTGAGAGCGGCATTGTAAATGGAAATGCCTATAGAGACACCTCCTGTATGCAAGAAATAAAAGCTTAGAATGAAATAAGTGTTTACATATATGTGTACAAAATTTCTATGCAACGGAAACATTACTTCAATTTAATTTAGGTTTTATACTTTGGTATACCAAACCCCCTTCTCCCGATATGGATTTCTTGGTCCTCTACATATGATACGAGTTCTAACAAGGTAGTAGTGAAAGCTGCCTAACAGTTTCACCTGATTCAAGTCCTTGTGTCGGCGATTTACAATTTGAGTAAATGAATGATGTATAAGAGGCACCTTTGTGGACATGGGTGGCTGTGACAGGCACGCGGCTTGCCTTTGTTGGCCAAGGCTCTTCGCAAGGCTGCTCTAGAAAGATGGACGAAGTACTGGTGACCCATAGATGCCCGTCTTGCGACCACAGAGCTGCAAGGCACCAGGGGGTTTAGGCCCTGGAGGCCTAGAAGTCAGCAACCTAAAGCCCCGAACAGGACCTAGCGCTGAGTAAGTGGGGAACGTCAATGCGCTCTTCGCTGGATGTACCAGGTACGGCCTGCACATGCCAGGTTAGAGAGGAAGACGTCACACGACGAAGATGGCATTGGCTGGCTGCTTCTCGAGCTAATTTGTGACTCGGCGCCTGGATCGACTTTGCGACAACACCAGCACCGCATTGTTCAAAGTCGTCCAAACACAGCCTCTACACACACGCCGTCGCCAGAGCGCCTGATGATCCGCAGCTTCTGCCGTTGCTTCTGCTTCGCTTCTCCCTGGTCGACCCCTGCTGCGCATCGTGGCAGCAACCCTTGCACGCACTTCGATCTCCCGGAAGCACATGCACCTTGCGCCAGGCTAATCACCGAAGCCTCCAGCTCGGCTTCAGCAGCCAGCGCAGCGACACGGCGCTCCCTGACTGACTCCTTTCGCCCTGGCAGTTAGCGGTGACGGTGAGACTCGCTGCCCAGCGAACAACCTCACCTGAGCACAAGCGAGGCCTCTGTCCTGTGGCTTGCGCCCTCATTTCAGCACTACCGAGATTCGCTTTGTGCGCGCTACTGCTACGCGCCAGGACTCGTGCTAATAGGTATGTATGTTGGTGCTTGCGGTTGTATCTTTCACAGCATCCAATGTTATTGCCGTTCCTCCAGCGGTTGAAGCTGATGCGGGGCTGTTTTTGTGGCTTCGCACGCGCTGGCGGAAAGACTCTATTAGGGGCTGGGCCTAGACGGCACTATTGAGGTTGGCCAGCGCATCTCATCTCTCTTTTTCTTCTACTTTGTCTGATTGTCGAGACAGCGCTTTGACGTTGGGCTGCCTGCCGAAAGAAGGCTTCTATGGCGGCTGCATGATTGGAAGATG